TCTCCAGCTCCATGCTTACCAGGCCTTCATCCAAAAATCACAGAATCATGGAATTGTCAGAGTTGGAAGAGACCTCTAGAGATCATCTAGTCCAACCCCCCTGCCAAAGCAGGATTGCCCAGAGCACATCACTCAGGACTGCATCCAGGTGGGTCTTGAGGATCTCCAGAGAAGGGGACTCCACGACCTCCCTGGGCAGCCTGTTCCAGGGCTCTGTCACCCTCACCATAAAGAAGTTCTTCCTCATATTTGAATGGGACTTCCAATGTTCCAGCTTGTGCCCATTGCCCCTCGTCCTGTCACTGGGAACCACTGAAAAGAGTCTGGCTCTGTCATCCTCCAATCCGCCCTTCAGATACTTGTAAACATAGATCAGGTCTCCCCTCAGCCTTCTCCAGGCGCAGCTCTCTCAGCCTTTCCTCCTAAGGGAGATGTTCCAATCCCTTAGTCACCTTAGTTGCCCTGCGTTGGATGGCAATGCCCCATCTCCATAAGGTGATACCTGGCTTCTTTTTCACAGCTTGTCATAGAGGCGACCTGAAGTTCTGTATCCCGTGGCATTTGGAGAAAGACCAAATAGCTCTGGGAATACTGCCCCCACGGCAAGGCCAAACGAAGGATACAAGTGGGGACACAGCCAAGCAGTGGATTCAGTGCACGCCTTGAAGAGGTGAGCTGGCTCCTGGCCCAAGTCACTGGCATCATCCCAGCTGCTGGCAGGAGTGAAAAGGGAACTTGGAATCACCCGATTCACTGCTGACTGGCCCAAATGCCTGAATTTCTTCAGGTTGAAGAAAGCAGATGGGTAGGTACCAGATCAGACAAACCTAGATGGCAGTATCTACGCTACGTGCTTACCAACTGTCTTTCTCAAGGGTGTGCAAGCTGTGAGCAGCTCAGGAAGGGATCCACCAGCACCACAAAGCTTCCCTACAAGCCCATGTTGGCTTTGCACTCGTGACACACACGAGCCACTTTTTTTATCCCACCTGGCTGCTGTCAGATCTAGCTTTGTGGGCACCAGAAGTTCATCCAAGGTGAGCGCTCCCCTTAGAATGCACTCAGCCTGTCTCCATCAGGTGAGACATTAACCCAGCTTCTCAGTGCATTTGTTTTCAGTGCCAGTATCAGGCATGCTTCATTTTTAGCTGTCTGCCATGACACCCTGCAGTCATGAACTTGCCACAAAGCATCATCACACCTTGTACCAACTGTTCATGGGACACCACGTATTGCTGACTCCGGCTACATCTAAGCCCCTCTTCAGAACAGCTCCCAAGGTCATGGCTTGGCATACGTGAAGCCTGTCTGCTCAGGTCACAAGCTCCTCTTGCCCTAGTCAAGTTCTAACCTCACAGAGCAGGACAACTCTCCTGCTCCAGACTGCCAGTCTGAAAATATCAGCAGTGAACAAAAGAACATAAAAGGAAGTTTTCAAGCATTAGGAGGGTTTGAAGTGAGGGGGTTTGTTCATTGCACGTTTCTTCTTCACTTTTCCTGTCTAACACAACCAGTGCATGAGAATGCAGTCTCTCAAAGCTTTGCCTGATGTGCAGCAACTGTGAGAAGAAAGGATAAGCGTGGTGAAAACAGGGAGACAACAAAAGTCTCTCTGAACGGAGAAAGATTAGCCCACGAGTGGAAATCTTGGAGACAGGAAATGATCTTGAGATAGCAAAGAAGGTTCTTGAGTTTCTCCAGTGAAACAGAGTTCCTCAAAATGAGCCGGGAGGGACACACTGGGAGATGAAAACAGGTAAACTTAAACTTTGTAAACTTAAGAAAATACAGGTGAGGTGGAAGAAACAGAAAAGAGGTGGTTTGATAGTGCTTAATTTTCACAGCCTTGGGAAAGTAGGAGATTTGCTTTGGTTTGGGTTGTTTTTTTTTTTTTTATTTTAACCGTGCCCTCTGTTTTCCCTAGGTCAGGAATGCTCATTTCCCAGTTTACATAACCCACAGTGAACCACAAAACAATGTTTAACAATGTTGCTCCCTTTTCCTGGCAGGAAAGTTACCTTGGGTGGAGTCCCAAGAGTTACACACTCCACCTCCCAAGGGAGGATGAGCTGGGCTTCTGCAGATGCATCCCACCTGGTTTTGGCATTTATAATGAAATGGAAGTTCCAGTGGGTTTCAGGCTTTCCCCCTCTCTTTACAAAGATTGCCTAAGACCTAAACTAAACTTAACCTTTCTGCAATAGAAGCCTTTGTGCGCCCTATTTTCCCTACATGTAAACCCATATTCTTTATCAGTGGGAACTTTTAAAAGCGTGCCCCTCCTTAGCCTTCTCCTTTCCAGACTAACTACAAATCCTTCTGTTTAATCCAGGTTTTCTAGACGTTCATTTTTCTTGCTTTTGTCTGGATTCTCTGTAATTAATCCACTCTTTCTTGTAGGACACTGCCCAGAACTGCATGCAGGAATCCCACGGAGGCCTTTCTAATAGCACTCAGAATGGAAAGATCACATGAAACAGTAACTCCACCACCTGCTCTACACAGACCCATGCCGAAGCACCCCTGGTGAGGTGTCATGCAGTACCAAAAGCAGAGAAACCATCCACAACAAACCTCAAACACAGACGGCTGAAAAACTGAGGCTAAGAACCGCACTGCATTCTGTGTGAATTAATGAGTTACACAGAGCAGGCCACTCTCACACCTCATAAGGACAGCTACTAATTATGCTACCTAGTTCATGGATCAGGAACTTCAGCAAACTCAAAAGTGTTCAATGTTGTGTACGGCCAACACCTCCTGCAGGCTTTTCAAAGGCAGAGCACAAAACGTAATCAAACAGCACTAGCCAGGTCAGTCAGCAAATGTATCAGAGAATCTTACAGGCTAGTCAGAGGGGTTCAAAAATAACATTAAAAGCAGGTGTAAAATCATGGCTCTGCAAATGAAATCACAGATGGTGTTAAGAAGACAGTGGGTAAGCACCTAAGTGATATAAGAGTACCTGTACTGTAACAGACTAGTGATGGAGCCACCTAAGGCAGTAGTGTTACTGTCCAATGGGCATGAGGACGGGGAGACACCTCAGGGCAGCCTCTGGACACAGCGTATGCACTGCAGGCAGCACTGCATTAGTAACTTTGGCTTGGGGGACCCACGCAGGAAATGATTCACCACCTGGATCGTGTGCTCTTGGGTTTGCTGGTCATTTAGACTGCGCTGTTTTACCCACACACAAAGCAGCCTCCGTGAACTCCAGTACTGAGCTGTGCAAACACCTCATACACCAGGAATACTGCCCTTCCTTCTGGGCTTTTTAGACCCTGGAGCAGCCACTGACAACCAAGGAGAGGGTGAGGCACGCTCCAGAAGGAGCAGACAAGCTCAAAAAGCACCTTGAGTCTCTTGAACATCTGCCCTGATACTACAAGTGTAGAGCCCCAAGCCCGGCTCCATCAGTTCACAGCAGCAAATCAACTACAGGCCAACAGCAGATGCCCAAGTCTCAAAGGATACAATCACAGCCTGTGCGTTTCTCACTGAACCAAACAAACTCCAAAACATTCCAGCAAAACACCCTATGCCATTACAATTATCAATTAACAAGCCGTCAAACTTTTGCAGATGAAGGTGGCATATGCTCTTAGACACATACGAAAACTCTTGCTCTCCTCAGGAGCAAAGGAAAGAGCTTGTCTCATCCTAATGACCTGCACCACTCAGACTTTCAGGCTCAGCAGCAGTCCCATGTCCAACAAGAAAACCTCTGCATGGATGTTTATCCTACAGCAGTTCACCACTACATTGAGTCCTTCACCTGCATTCTTCACCATCTCTGCAGTGGCAGCTGATGAAAGAGAAATTGATTAATATGGAAAAATATCAGTATCTCGGAAGTTAACAAAAACTTCTCTCTCAACAAGTATACTTAAAGTGTCTCACCTCAGCTTGCTTAGAAATGGACAGGACCACGTTCACTAGCAACTTGCATGAGATTAGCAGTTGGTTAGTTTATCACTGCCCATCCTATTCACAAGCACTCTGCTACATCCTGAATACAGTCCAGTCGGAGAAGACACTCAAGCAGACTTCCAAGAGGACTCCTTGGTGCTTAGCTCAGACCTCCTGCAGAACTACACCAGAATTAGACTAAAAGGGGGCAGGTATCAGTCGTACATGCTTACACAGCTTGTTGACTCAGAATATTTGCCTGCATTTTCTTTCTCCTATTGTAATGTCACATAGGCACTGCACTTCCCAAGCCAGGGCTCCCTTTCTGTCCATTCCCCTTCACCCCTGCAGACAGCACGCCGGCAGGATTTCTCAGCTCAGCCTCTGTAGAAAGATCATGCAGCTCTGCACAGCAAAAAAATCCCTTCTGCTGCCATTCACTGTGCAAAGCTTTAATACTCTGTTTAACAATCTTAAGGGACTGTGGCAAGCAAACTCAAGTCTAGGCAGCAGACTATGAAATATGATCATGTCTATACCCCCCTTCAAGTATTTCTAAGGCCAAAAATAAAGTAGGCCAAAAATAGCGTATTCAGAAGACTTTAAGCACCAATATCCCAGCTTACAGGACATTGCTTGCTCCTGTCTCCAGGGAGCACCAGTCCTTGAAAGTTTCTCAGAAGCATACCTCAAAACAAGCTATCAAAAAAGAGGGAAAGGAACGCCTTCGCTTTAGCAACCGGTGAGGGGGTGGGGTGAGGAGGAGAGTGGAGAATTCAGAAAAGTGGCATCATCACTAAAGAACAGCAAGCAGCCTAGTAAGCGTGTGAAGTGCATACCTTTCTGTGAAAGCTAAGTCCCGCAAATGCCATCTCCCAAACGAGGCACTTTCAACTATTCAACTCTTACGAAGTTAAGGAAGGGGAAAAACCCCTCCAATAACGCATGTCTCTAAATTCAGACAGGGCTGCTTCCACACTTCCCAAGTAATAAAAATGCTAATTAAAGGGAGGAGTACCCAATAATGGCTCTGAGTAATAGCTATGAGGAAAAAAAGCTCCCTCAAATTAGGGAAAGATCACAAGAACAAAAGTCAACATTGTTTTATTGATAAATAACTTTTTTAATATTTTCACTCAAACATTCTAGCATTACAATGGTAAACAAAGTGCAAATTTTCAGGAAGTCAACTGAAGTCAACAGAACCCAAACTTGTTAAACAAATCTTTTTCACAGAACACAGGTTTGTAAATTTTATCCCCTTTATGTCTTCAAGGCCATGTAGTAGTTATATTTCTCTTAAAAGCCTGTTACTTATCTTATTGCTAAAGAATCTGAGCAGCTACATTTCAGAAATGGTGATTAATCATCCTTTGAAAATTCCACAAGACTCTGAGACACAAAATCATGAATCCATATATCAGTATCTGGATGAGATGTGTCCACGAGGAAAGTCACTATTTTACGATCCCAAGAGTTAGCACTTTCATTAACTGCCTGTATCTGTGCCACCAAGGGTTTCTTCTCTACAAGATTCCGAAACACTATTGATGCTTCTTCTGACCATTGCTGGCTTTTCACTCCTAGGACAAATGTAAAGCAAAACAGAAGGTCATTTATAGACTATACCAATCTTAATGATTAAGTTTATAAAGCAGTGAGGGGAATTTAAATACTTGAGAAAACAGATGTTCAAGTGCTACTGAATGCAGCTTAACTCTAGAAAAGAAACACAAGCTCACTCATCTCCCACACAAACAAGCTTAGTTATTACAGAGACAAGGACATTTATTTTTTCTTGAAGTCTAAAGATAGGGGCAAGTTTGCAGAAGTGAAAGGCAAATGCACTGAGTCACTGAGCCATTCAAAGTGTATCAGCTGCCATGCATGATCAAGGCATATTAGGAAACATGACAAAAAGGAAACTACAGATCCTTTCCAAACAAACTATTTCTTTATCTGCCGCCTGAGGTTGCTGAAATTATTTGTCCTGTTTGCCTTTCTTTAGATTACGTTTTCTTCACCTCAAAGCAGCATCAGCTACTAAGACATCTGCCAAACCTTCAAGTCCCAAACTAGACCTGCAAAGAGCAGAAACAAAGGCAAATACTACCTAAATGCCTTCCAACTGCTGCTATTTTTTTTTTAGAGCAGCTTCTCACAAATCAAGTCTGCTCAGGGATGTGATGCTAGAACTCAGAACAGGTTTCTGAATATGGATGCAAGAAAGAAGTTGCTCCTGCAGACTTGAAATTGTCTCCCCAAACCACTGCTGGTGTACAGCATCTAGCCACAAAGGGCTCAAATATCGTCCATGAACACGCAAATAGCAACTTAGGGATAAAAGGAGCAAAACAGCAAAGTGGCAATGCTTTGCTTTTTTACTATTAGCAGCAGCTTGCTGCTGACAGGACAGGACAACACAGGAACACAGGCCCTTGCAGGTTACAGAAGGAATGAGAAGTCAACAGTTCATCAACAGCTTAGAAAGGGTAATTAATGCTAAGAAAGGCTGGTGAGGAAGCAAATGGGATTTTACAAGGAAATAGAGCAGAGATGGAGAGGTAACACACATGAAAAAAAGAGAGAAAAAAGTGGAAGAACAGCAAGACAATAGTTACCAGTGTTCTGGGCTCAGTTTGCCTGCTCTGACAATATGAAGTAGCTCAGAAGCCAACTTAACTAGCTACTTGGGATTCTGTGAAGCAGGAAAATCGGATGGCTTGCAGGCTTGCTCAGCTGGATTCTGTACTCTCCCAGCAGACAGACATAGCTAGAAATCAGTTTCATTTCAGCACTGCGTTCCTAGGACCCCAGCTTGTTGGTAACACATCCATCATCACTAGTTTAAAGCAACCCCCAAGGTCACACCGAGGCTGTACAGGAAAGCAGATCCTAGGCAGAAGCCAACCTAGGATCTGAGCACCAACGCCGTGGCCTGACACTTCAGATAAGTGTATCCTGTAACTGAAGTCTAGACTAGCCCTGGCCAAACAGCAGCAGAGAGCAGCAACTGAATAAAAAGATGTGTATATCTGAAACCAATACAGAAATGAAAAGAAAAATTTGGATAAGGAAAGGAAAGACACCAAGGAGAGATAACATTTTATTTTTTAATTCTATCACATGTGTGCACACTCTCTATGCCCCATATTCTTACGGAAATTAATCTTTCTTAAGTCTGTTAGAAGTCCCCACCCCTCTTGTGCAGTTTTATTGTTTGTTTGAGAACATCAATGTATTTCAGGCAACTTTGGATTCAAAACATGCACTGGAAAACAGTAAATTACAACAGGGGCAAGATATATAAGGAAAACTTCTCCAGCAACTCAGCATCTAGAAGATGTAGATTAGGATAATACACTCTATGTAGATTAGGATAATCAGAACATAAGTTCTTATCGGCAAGTATATAATAACATTCACATTTTGTAATGGGTTATGTTTAAGGATCCAAAACACTTTGATTTCCCTGAGTCCTTTGCATATTAGATATCACACATCTTAAACGATAAATGTCTAAGACAATGAAAAGCAGCTGCTGGGGAAGTTTTATACATGGTACCTAAAAGTGCTGCACTAAAATAAACAAATAATAAAACAGAAACATCACTACCTATGTCCAGAAGAAAAGCAGAGCTATTTTGATGACATAAACATGTATGCATTAAGCTGTTTTTGCAAGCAGTTACATACTTACTTTAGGAAAAAACAATTACATCACTAACCGTTGGCTTTCTCCACTTCACATTTCTATTCATTTGGTATCCCCACAGATATAAGGCTTTAACAAAAAAAGTCTGTAAGTGCTTACTACCTACCTGCAAGCTGAGCTGCTACAGCTTGGAAAGGTAGTTTTCTAAATGTATCCATGAGTGGCTGTACTTTCTCTATGCTGACAAACTCATGTTTACCGTAGTCCAGCTCATACACTGACAAAAACCCGTTTCTAAGAATTCCTTTTATTATGACCCTGTACCACCTAAAAAGGAAGAGAACAAGAAAAGACAACTTGAATTCGTATTCACACACTGTCATGCAACTAGAAAAATAATACATGACCCAAAGATCTTAACCAACACGCTTCGGGCTTCCCAGATCTGGTATTATCTGAATAGAAGTCAACTCTTCCAACTACAACCTGGAAGCATGAAGCGACTGCAACCTCATTTGCTGTCTCAATCTCTCAGGTATCATTGGACATTTGCCACCTTGTTAACAATGCAGACAAAGCAGACGTAGGCTTGCCTTCGATGATTTTAAGTATCTACTTACTGATTTTCAATTTTAGCTGCATAGAGCTTGTTTTTCTCAACGTTCACAGGTTTCTCTTCTGCCCTGCTGTAGTACAAGATCATTTCTTCCATTAGGGCTTCCAGATTATGTAGCTCTTTCCAAGGCTGGACAATAAAGTGACCTGGATGGCAGGCCACTGAGACATAGACATCCATGAGCTCGCCAGTCTTTGACAAGGGTAGAGGTGGAGGCATATCAATAGTAGCTGCTGTGCTGCTGGGCTCTCTGGCTGAATCAGAGACACTCTTCTCCACCTTTCCACTAGTTGACCGTAGAGCTGACACAGCATCACTTGTCACTTTTGTGGAGCTAGTCCCACTGGGTGTGACACTCAAGAAAACATCTTTCTGATGCTTCCACAAGTCTGCATTTTTGATCTGTCGATTGACACTACGATCCGTATCGGGAAAATTCTCTGGAGCAAACAAGTAAATGTGTGCAATTCCCTTTGAACCATCCTGCTTAACCACCTTGGAAAACAAAACACAGTTTAACTTCCAGTTAATCGCTAATAAATACATATCTGACTCAGTACAGAAGACTAAAGCCTTTAACAGCGAAGTGGCAACAGTTCATTGCATTCTATATGCACAGAAGTATTTTCAAGATTCTCTCAAATACATTAAAGAAGATGTTGGAGAGTAAGCAACTCACAGCAGCTAAGAGCACTTGCAGGTATTCCACTGATGTAAAGCAAATACAAAGACTGAGTTGAGTTTTGTTCTGCCCAACAGGTTCAATCTTGGTACTACACGAACAATTCTAGTTTTCAGAACGGTTGCCAGTGTCCATACAGATCTAAACGACTAAGTAATGCTACTAAATATTAATACTTAATCCTTCAAAATTCTCTTCCTGTCATTATGGGAGATGAAGCTTAGTGAATTAAGGATGGGAAAAAAATAAAGATAAAAGAACCTCCAGGTTTGTATCAGGCATAATTTTCAACTACTGACATAGAAGTATTTCCTATTTAACATTGAATACTAGCATTATTGATAGTGAAGCACTGAAATTTTAATTTCGCACAGTATATAACATTTCTTTACAGATTCTTCTGTTGATTTTCCTAGCCAGGAACAAAAACTTTCCACAATTAAAGCACACCTCTGTCACATATTATTTAATCAAGCAAGAATTAGTACCAAACTCAAACTATCTTGGAAGAGGATGTTTAGAAAAGCCAGATGCAACAGTCATAAGTCCCAGACTAGATGAGTTATAACTACACTGTCTTCAGTGTTAAAGCAAGCAAAAATGCAAAGGAAAGTTACAAAACACTTTTTCAAAGTGCTGTGACAGCATCTGGAATCATATTTTTAAGAGGAAATTAGCTTTGTTCAGTCTGTAGTTAGCAATACATTTAATTTAAAAGGGTGTTTTCAGGTAATTAAACTGTATAGGATACATTGCAAGCAGAAATAATTTTATCTCTAAGATAACAGAAATTCTAAGTATACGATAACATATACTAAATCACACTGGATTAGAAAAAGCAAACAAAAAATAGAGCTGTTTTCCAAGACCATAAGGAGAGAAAGCTATGCTCACAAGAGGCATAAAAAAACCTTAAAATTAAGTCAACAGTGGTATTTTTTTATGTGGTGAAACATTCTTTCTTATCAGTTAGTAAAATAACTCTAGCTACATATTTGGACTGGGACAGGAAACATGAAAGGCTAATGTGAAAGTGGCCAAATTCTTGACGTGAAAAGAGAAGCTTCCAACATGCTTAAGCAAGTAAGTTTTATTTCAAACATCCCAAGAAAAAGGACTTTGCGTAGAATTTATGTCCAAGAGCTGGCTATAAACTTCTAAACTTCTATAACAAAAGTTGATTTGATGACTGATTAACCATATAGAGTTGTTCTTTCAAGGGTCTTTCCACACGCCTATGGACTTCAAGTCACATAGGCATTTTGACTATTTACCTTCATGCTAAATTCAGGACAATTCATTACAGTGTCTCTCAGCCACAGTACAGCATCTGGAGTCCACATACCAGTGTTAGGAGGCAGATCTGCTAGGCAGCATTTTATAGCCTAAGAAGAGAATTAAGTATAGAAGGTATAATTTAGTAATACGGAAATTAGGCCACAAGTTCCTATTGACAGAAACTTCATTAACGCTAACAGTATACATATCTATGACAAACAGAGACAAAGGAACATGTAAAACCAGTACCACTACACTTACACAACATCCTGTCAATACAGGACATTATGACTTATTTCAGGCAAAGATGCACAATGAAATACACTCCAATGTTGAATGCTATTAAACAAAACAAAATTTCATTACATAAACCTTGAAGTAGCAGCACTACACTGTCAAGAGATATAGCATAGGTTAGCTTTAACTTGGCTTTATACCTGAGGAGGTATTGCAATTACTTCTCTCAGGAATTGTGGTGGGATTTCTTTAAGCTCTGATATTTTCACAGTTGCAACTGTTCCAGTATCCATGAACTGCACATCAAGTGCCCGGCTAGAGTGAATAAATCTTATCTGAAAGAAGAGAAGCACCATTTTGCAGTTAAAAACACAGCAGTGACACACACACACACTATAACAAGTTTCAGAGTAACTAAGGATTCAGATTTAGCCAAACAAAAAGAGCCATTTTAATGTGGGAAAACTGTAGCTGTTCTTTGAATATTTCTTACCTCTACACGTGCCCATTTTCCTTTGGAAGGAAACAAGCAGATTTTGCCACAGAAAGGTAGTGATACATTGAACTCAGATGTCCGCTGCAAATATAAAAACATGAAGTTAAAAAGCATGGAGCTATTAATATCTGGCACTCAACTAATCATTTCAAAAGCCACACATGGAATAAACAGTTCTGAGAAGTAAAAACTCTGTTTTAAATATAAAGTCTCTTTCCAGCCTCAGAAGCATTTCTTATCGCATTGTTTTAAGCTTCCCCAATCGCTAAAGCTTTAATTCCAAGTTGTGTATCTTACAGGGAATCCGAGAGAACACAAAGTGCCAGGGGAAAAAAACCACATTTGGAAACATAGAATATGAAGTCATTGACCATAAGTTTAATGTTCTGAAAAGTAAGAGCAGTTTAGAACTGCTGAAGAAATTCTTGCCTTTATATTCTGGAATGCATAATTTGTTCAAATATTCAACAAACCAAATTTACTACTGACTCAAACGGAAGTCTCCTGGGGGTAACATTCACCATGATAGTCCTAAATAACATAACAAGACAATGGCTGCACTATAAAAAGCATGAAGAAACTCCATTTGAAGACTCATCATCAACTTAGTTTGTTTGAACTCCCAGGCAAAATAAAAACCCTCAATATAAGCTGCAAAGTCAAGATTGCTTCTTTTACCTCCAAACACAGATTGATATTAAAAGATTCTGAATCTCAAGGTGTTTCAATGACAGCAAAGAGAACCTAACATATGCTCTGTCCAGAAAATCTGAACTCCTGAAATATCTGTATGGCTGCCTGTCTTTGTGTTGCTAAACTTTTCAGGGTTCTACATGCTTTCTTTCAGTGTTTAGTTTGCTTGAAACTGAATTGTGATAACCAGATGTAAAGTATTTCCAGATGGTGCATATTCCACAACAGGCCTAAATCTCAACTTCTCCACCTAAAAACACTTTGACAGATTAGTTCCACAAGCAGCAGTTCTAACAGGACCTTCAAGGATATGCATTTCATGGTTTGACTCTCTCTAAGGCTTGGTTCAATGTTAAACAATTTAGATTCTCTTAAGATTTCTTTTTTTTGGTATAAATTCTTTTGAGTCTAGTAAGGGTTGTTGTGTGTGTCTGTAAATGGCCAGTGGAATGCCAGACTTTTCTGCAACATGCCTATTTTAATGCAGCTTAAGACTTTTGAAGATGCCTCCTATATGTCGGTTCTAGCTGATATTAGCCACAACATTCACAAGCTAAGGGTACAAGGATAAGATACGCAGTATATCAGATCAAATCCATCCAATGCCCAAGGAAGCCAGGCTAAAAAGAACAGACCTTGATTACACTGCTTTTATTGTCACTTTGCATGGTATGCTGTGGGCCAGGCTGTTTATGCACCTCAACTCCACCACATAAATAAAACTTCCAGAAAAAAAATATGGCAGTATCTCAACAGGCTTTGTATCAATCTGATGCAGTTTCTGTTGGAAGATTCCCATTATGAGTCATGTTGTTACTGTTCTAACTATTCAAGGAAAGTTCTAAGTAGTGACTTCTCTCACCATAGAGCCTACCTTGTAATGGAAGAAGTCTTCTAGTTTCTGCAAGATTTCAGAAAGTCTAGACAAGCCTTTAGATGGCACTTGGCAATACAGGCTTCCATCAGAGAAAATACTGGTTACTCTCACATTTGTATAGAGTCCATCTACCTGTAACAGTAAGATTTTCAGAAGAAAGGGGGAACCCCCCCACACACAAACTTAGCAAGTTTCTGAGTACTGTTTTTTGTCCATCCAAGACCTTAGCAGTCAATGATTTTCAATGAATTAAGAAGGAAACAGGAAAACGGTACCTTAAGGTGCAGTTCAAGGGACTTGTCGTACAATGCCTTCAGACAAGTAGCATTGATGTTGATATCATCTTCTCCAGAAGTGTCATAGAGAACAAGAAGAGGAGTATCACTCCTTTCCAGTATTTCCACAGCAAATATCTTAGAGCATGTCTGTGATTCCACAGTCTTTACTAGGACAGGATCATCACAGAAGACTTCCAGTCCTGTAAGACACACCATACTTTTTATGTATCACTGTATTCAAAGGCAAAAACAACAACTGGTCTACGTTTGCAACAAGAATCTTTCCAAGAATCAGGATGTATCAGGAAAGCTGTACTATACCCCTACTTGCATTCTGCTCTGTTTCCACCATTTTAATGCAAAAAGCCATCTTTGGGGGGTGGAACGGTGAAGGAAGGGTGGGAAGGGAGAAAAGAGAAAGATGCTCTTCAGAAAGAGTTGAGGCAAACGTGTATAGAAAAAAGGAATGCATCCAAGTATTGAAAAAAACAATCAACCAAAAAAAAAAAGCTCATTCATGGACATTTTATATATTTAAAATAAAATATTTTTGAGAAGTTAGAAATGCCTACCAGTTTTAGGAAGGTAAAAAATTTCCATCAGAGTCTAAGAAGTCTGCAAGTATGTAAGTACTGAAAAGGGAAGGACCACTTAAAATAACAAAAGAGCATCATATTTAGGAATATTGCCCAACCTCGCCACAACAGATGTGGAAAAAGGGGCTGTGCTAGTACATTGCTTCACACACAACAAATATTTCCTTGCATTTCTTTAGGCTTGGATATATTAAAGGGACAAAGACTTCCAAGCTAAGTGCAGGAATAACTAAGCTCCATTACAGAGTTACTTGATATCAAGGCTTCTTTACAAAACTCTCCTTCACACCCTTCCTTTTCCTCCTTTCCATGCCTATCCATGTCTGCATAGACTAGCTGTCTTGGACAAAATCTAACATACATAGGAGTTATTAAAAAAAAGGATCAAAACTCCCAAACTGAGACACATCACTCCATAAATCATGCGTGAGCAAGCTGTATAGTAAACACTGACTTTCTCTTACCTGCCAGTTTACATTTTGCAGCTTGAAATGGAAGTGAACTGAACTGTTTCAGTAGTTTGTACACACTGTTGCTTTCAACAAACTCACTGAAGCCATGATCAACATAGCATACCTGATAATGGAAAAGAGAATAGAGTGTAAGATCATGAATATAATTATAAATATGTTTTCATGAGTCTAAGAAAAACATATTCTGTTACCACAACCTCTGTGCAGGCACAGACAAATCACTTCTAACTAATTTAGTACTATATAATGCCATTAATATCATGTTTATTTCACTGCTTGAATGTTCAGAATTTTCAGGGAGAGCCTTCTCAGGATCCCTGTAAAACTATCCTCTCCAACTGTTCCACAGAATCTCAACTCTTAATAGGAACAGTGCTGGAAGGACTCAGCACTTACTAACCTCAAATCACATGAAGAAACATAATAAAGTTGCAATTTTTATTTGTGAAATTTCAAAAGTGTTGAAAATTCAAATACCACTTAAATGCCATCCTATGTTTTGCCTTTTGTTTTTACAGCATTAAGACAATAATTTTGATTTATATTTATAGAGATTTTGATACATAGTCAATTCAAGAAATTGGTACAGAAACTGCTTATTGGCAGCAAATAATTGGAGCTAAAGTGAGAGAAAGAAGGTTTTGACAGGACTTTTTGTAACTTTTTTCTAAACTCTATCATGCAAAATGTCTGCACACCAAACACTGAAAGGTGAGTCTGAACACTGTTTCAGAGAAGCAAATTCTGCAACAAAGCAGTAGCCTTCTTTTGGCTGATAGCTCTAGACAGAGAGAAATTAGAGGCAAGGTTGCTACCAGTGTCCTTGCCACTTCTCTAAATCCAACAGTCTTTTCCAAGAAAGAGTTCTGACTGTCCCCTCCAAGTTCCAGCTGAAGAGTATCACACTAACTTTCAGAAAAACATGAATTCTAATACATGCTATTTAAACATTAATGAAATGGATCCACTTTAGAAGTATGTTAAGCAGACCTGGGTAAAAAATCACCTAACTGGGAGAAGAAACAAAAAAGGAAAAGGTACCATTAATGTTTGACTAGGCAAGAAATAAAAGAGAAGTTTGAAAATTTTTTATACAGTTTTGTCATATGTTTCATTGCAGATGGCAAGAAGAGTTTGCTTGGCTCAGGAGAAGTTTAACCAATGAGTTAAATAATCTAGAAGGGACTCAACTAAAATGCAGGCTACATTTAACTCCCGGAATACCAGATCTGCCTGGAAGGGAACATGAGTATATCCTTCTCGTTGTCTTGCTCTATAGCACATGTAATACATAGTTCACTACAAGACTTCAAACAAGATCCATCAGCAAGTGAAATTTATTCTTCCCTTTCCCTTCCTCTGTCCCACTTCAAATAGTGCTACTACATCTGTTCCTCCTAAGACTATCAAAGGTACATTTTCAGTACAAAAGCGCTACAGGGCCCAGCCCATATAAAGCCCAAAACAAAATCCCAAAACTCAAACTATTTATGGAAAAAAAAAAGACCATTTAAATTTGGCAATCACATGACTTCAAAACAGTCTCAATTTCTCATATAACTGAAAATAGAAGTACTTCAGGGTAAGAAAGGAGAGAATGGTAGTGCAGCGTATTTAGGAACTGTGTATCTGAAACCCAAGATTGTTTTAGGTCTTTCTCCAAGTGCCAGAAGAAGTAATTGCTTGCCTTTATTTTGTTGTCTTCTAAAGAAATTATCCGAGCACGCAACCAGGCATCTTCTTCAGCATGTACTGCAACAAGTTGCCCAACACTCAGAGACTGAGCTAATGACACTGTACTATTCTGACTGTAGAATGCCTTCATGTCATCTTCCATTTGCTCCTGGGCAGAAGAATAATCTTTGCCCACATACCTACAGTATTTAACAAAAAAACCAAAAAACCACAACAATTAGGATGCAATGTCAAAAATCTGAATAAAAGCCAAAAAATTTATATGCATACATGAATATAATTAAATTATGGAGATATACGTTTTCTAGGCACATCAGTATTCAAACTCTTTTCCCATTAACAGGCCTATAAAAAAGTAATTGATGTAAAATTTTGTAGTTTTGTTGACAGCTAAGGGCGGTCCAGCAGTGTATAATCTAACATGCTCAACTACATTTTTAGTAAGAGCTCTTACTTCATTATTAAAAATCATGTCAAAAGCAGAATAGTGTCTGGGACCAGGTGTAAAAGAGAACTAAAACGTTATCTCTAAAGTTATTCTGTCATTAACAAACACCAGTTCAACCAGGTTTTCACTAAGGTTGATCAAAAAAAAGGCATCTAAAATAATTTTACAGATCAACTGTCAAACCATGTACTGTTTAGTCTCGGCCTTCAGAACAATCCTGGCATTAGGCTGCTGACCTAATGGCTCATAGGGAAGCAGTTTGTGTTTCATATATCTTCTTTAATAAAGTACATAAACTTACTGAAAACTCCAAATGGGAAGTTCTGAATGCTTCAGAAACAAGTCAGATTATAGGAGACAAAACAAAAACTTAATCCCAAATTTGCATTAGCAGCTACTGTTTTAATTTAACTTATGGACTTTAACTGTTCATACAGTGATTAATACTGCTTATTTCTATGACATAGTTTAGACTATCGTCCTATAAAAATCAGGTTTATTCTGAGGGTCTGCTATGTGCCCAGGATTAATGTAGATACTGTACTATGACACATTATGTGAACTTTGTTATCAAGATTAAGTTAAATCTGATCAAATTCCAGGGAATCCTCATTTTCCTAAAGACAGCCTGCTACCTCACCATCCAATTACATACTGCTTTTCAGAATGACAGCCCTCTTGTTTCTGCGTAAGCACTCTTCCACTTCAAAATGGACATGGAGTGTGGCAACAGTCACACATGTGCTGCTTAAAAATTAGTTTCTTAACATCTGTTTCATAAAGATATTTAACAGACAGTAGGGGCATCTTAACAAAAAGTGACCTTTCAGGATTTCCTGGCTCGCTCACAGTTTTCTGGTAATAGGTGAGCTTCATACTGAAAAAGCTTTTGGCTGCTTAAAGCCAATAGAGAAATTATTTTTCAGATTCTTCAGAGAAGGATCTTGGAAAGCAACTTCAAAAAAGCGATTTAGGGAGTAATCTATGTGCAGGTGGCCAGACACTGCAAGAGTGCACTCAGAACCATTCTTAGTCTCAACTGGAATCAATTCACATATCAAATAAAGCTTGCTGCTTCCTTGTGAAAGGACCAGAGGGGTATGCTTCAATAGTGAAACAACCTACAACATTTTGTCCATTCAAAAAGATAAAAGAAGAGGAAAATACAGTATCCAAGCTGAAGCACAGAAACAAAAGGTAGTTAAGAATAAAACATGATAGTTAATTATTTCTTGTGAGAATTCAAATGTAGCACCTAGTGTATCATCTCTGCCTTCAACCACACTGTTGCAGATGTATAGCAAATACCTACAAGTGTTTTTATCACTTCCCTTTCATTCTGACCACATCAGAATTTTTACAGAATTCGTACCACAACTCAAAATTGAAATAGCACCAAACCTTCCAGCTTTGTCTTAATTAGTACTGTAGTTGAAAGGTTTCAGCCAAACAACACTTAGCCACATACCAAGAAAGTAAAGAGACATTGCTCCATCCCCAAGACAGAAAGAGGAATCTTGATTTTATTGATCCTGCAAAAATCAACATCAACCAATAGCCGTTACACAGTTCTTCTGTAGATCAGGCAAAAATGACTGCTAGTACATGCACAGGAAAGGTGAATCCATGCATTGTTTCCTTCCTATATGTCTACATCAACATTTTCTCATCATGGCTAAAAACTATTCCCTTCAGGGCTAGTTTAATCTTGAAGATAAATGACCTTGCCCATGAAGTACATAGATAACCCTAAGTTGTCATTTCTGTACCTAGGGGCCAAGAAACAATTAATCACCACCATATACTTATACAGAACTGACAAATGCAGAAGCTTTTAAAAGTCTTTAGTAAGACCAAGAACCATGGTCCAAAATCTAGAAACTGCTGCTTTAGAGAAATTTTAACATGATCACCCTCAGCTCATCAGTGTAATACAGTAATTTAATCCATGCAATTTGAGGCATTCCCGCAAACAATTTGTGGAATCCTTAAAATAACAGATTAGAAAGCCAAGATTTGTTACTCCACATACACAGCAAGTTATCAGTGCTGCCAGAATTAAAAGGTATACAGTTAGAAGGAAAAAGCTTTGCAGATTTAAGTCCCACCCGCATAGCAAGCTGGCAGTAAGAGACAGATAATTTGTTTCTGCTCTTCCCAACACAAAACATGCAATATGCACCATGTCTATTTTAGTATCTCTATGTACAGATAATTACATGTCTTGAATTGGCTTGCTTTCTTGTAACTATCCATCCTCACCATCTTCTGCATCCTAGACTAAATTCAAACAGAGCTCTCACAGGAACAACCTAAAACATAAAGCCTCTCTTTTCTTTGATGCAGTTCTTCCTCCTTTGATTTCTTGTTTCAAGCTTCGGCTCACTCAAAAATTCAGCTGTGTATTCTTCACTAAAATGACTGACTCATCCAACCTTAATGAAAGATGAAGAATTCTGCCTTAAATTATGCATTGTGGTAACACCAGTATACAAAATAAATGTAGAAGCAAAGTACAAAAAAAACTTATCTGAGAAAAAGCACGATATAGGAATGGTGCTAGCAGCTAAAACAAAGATGGCAACATTCTCAAATGAGAATTTCTCTCATAATCCCTAAGTATGGGGATTTTCACTGCAGATCAGCAGCCATTAAGATTCCATGACTTTACAGAACTAAAACAGTGGACTGACACATAAACAAAGTTCGAGGTCAAATATTCCAATACACTACTGACAGCTAGAGAGAAAAAGGGTATCTGCACTTCAGCCTTAAGGCTAGTACCTTGAACTGCAAACCAGCAATGAGGAACAGGTATTAGTTTCATAGTGAAAGAATCTGAAAGTAAACTGCACACATAGCTATTTTGATCCTAATAAGGACTTCTGAGAATGACTGAAACTATCTAATGAAAGCTGAAATTAGTGGGAAAAACCAGAACTGTCAACATAGTATATTACCACACAGTTCCTCAATTCATCCTTTGAAGTGTCATATAAAATTCTAAGATTTGGCTCAATTTGAAATAATTTTCAAAATTAAATAGCCTCTTAAAAAGTGTCTGGTTTTTTTTTGTTTGTTTATTTTAAAGAACTGCTAGGATTTGTGTGTTTTATCCCAACAATGAAGTATAAAAAGCTTATAATGGTATTTTCTGAAACAGTACAGTAACATATATGTAAGATAGCCACTTCAATCCACTTAACACTTTTCTTTAAGACTGGGCTGATTAGCAACCAAACCAATAAGCACTAGTAGTTTATTGCTGGATGGAAGCTCATCTGTCCCCAAAAGTGAAAACTGCAGTATAATCTGAACACACTCAAGTCACACCTAGTTAGTAGTCAGGAGTAAGAAATATTTTTATAAGTATTACAGCAATATCTGAATACTATATGTTTTATAGTAGGGTTATTTTAAAATGCCTTCCAATGGCAAGTCAAATCTGCTTTGATTCTCAGACATGCTAATCACAGACCTACACAGAGGAAGTTCCAGAACTTTTCCACTTAAACACATAAACAAAAGGATTCTTAAGTTCCATTATAAAAATAAATAAATAACAAAGTCCTGCAACTTCCTGTTTATCTGTTCTCTTACAGCAGACCTGCACAATATGAAAATGTAGATTCATAAATAAAGCAAAAGAGATAGATTTTGAAGTACAAACTTGCCTAATGAGGACATCATTAGTGTTTTTCAGTTCCAACACTATGACAGACACAGATCCTTCCGATGGAATGACTAGAGGAGGAACAGTGATATTCTCTGGATACTGGTCCTTGGATTCTTCATACTGCTGTTCAGCTGTGGCCTTCGCACCATCATGCCTCTGGACTTTCTCAGTGACATTCAGATTTTCATCAGTGCATCTTTGGGGTTTAGCATAGAGGATTGCCTTTCTGGGGACTTCAGACACATAGTCCACTACACATATATCTGAGAGCAACTCTAGATTATTTAGAATGTCTTCTGGAAATTTCACTTGGTAAGTGTCTTCGTATAACTTGGGAAGCGCGTTAGCCCAAAGACCACTGGAATACTTCAGCAAGATGTTAACAACTTTCTGCTTGATGTCACTACTAAGTGATGTGGGCGTGGTCTCCCCTTTTGGTTTTAACAAAGGGTCTACTTTTAAAGCAGCAACATTCTTAGGCGCTTTTTCTTGCTCTGTATCAGTTTTTGCTACTGGTGGCATCTTCTTAGCAGGATAAAGAAGCCCATCGATCTGATCACCCCTGTGTACTTTCTCCACCTTGGAAAACAAAAAGTAGAGTTGATAATCAGTTGCATTTCTTGCATCTCTTAAGTCTAAATCATTTTGCCAGTTACACTTTTATAACATGCATTTTATACAGCCTTTGAAGTGGACATACACAGGGAACTAAGCTCGAGGCAGTTACTACAGGGTAGTATTTCTTGTAATGCTTCCTCCTCCATTTTGAACACATCAGCACAGGGCAAATATCTATCTATGTAATATAAGTTGGCTTGGTTCCAAAGAAGTATAGCCTCTCTTTTCTTGTAGAAGGACTAGAAGATGCTGATACGCTCCACAGACTAAAGGTCTTTGCACATTAATCCCCCCTGGTGTTCCACACAGGTAAGCATATCATCAACAAAAGTTCCTGTCTGAGTATACTGAGGGAAAGAGAACCTGCTTGTATACTTCAGAAACAAAAGGACACTTGTCAGGCAGTGTTGTAAAGGCTATGTGCTGTCATGCTCAGGGAATTATTTTTTCTTTAAAAAAGTTCTGAAATTAAGGAAGAAATTTCTGGATCATAATGGGTTTCATAATAAATTTGATTAGGCCATTTTAAACCATGCCCACAGCCTCCCTCCAGACCCAAATGTTTTGGTGGTCTGTATGTCTATCCTTTCCTAAGTTCAATAACAAGTATCTCACATGGTCTGAAGTCACAATCTTGCAAGCACCATTTGAGAACTGTAGAAACAAGCTCACAATAAAGTTCCACTTCCTAAAGCTATGCAGTTTCAACCTAGATCAACTTAACTGTAGTTTAGCAGGAAAATCTATGTAGAATTGAGATAACAAAAGCTCTCGGTGTTTTCACATTGGTCCCAAAGCAAAAACAACTCCTGCAATAAGGAAAGTTGTGAAGGTTTACATCATAGCTCCACCTTGATGTTCATTCCTCACAGGAAACTACTCTTACCAGTTTCCTGGGTCCACATCACACCAAAGTCCTTTTCAGAGGCAGATCAATGAACAAAACACTGAGTAGTTGAGTTACTTACTACTACTCAGGGGTAGCATTTACTTTTAGGATATTGATGTCCATACCCATCAGAACTTGATAAATCTTGCTAAAGTCATTCTTTGCTGTTCTGTCTTCACAACATACAACAGAAACATAACAAAGACAACTTTAACTAATATCTTACGTAAAGAAAAATGTATCTCACTCATTATCAAGATAGCATTAACAAGATAGGAACATTTAGTTACAATACATTGAAAAAACTGGAAAAAGATGGCTATTACTGTGCCAAGAACCATGTATTTTCTCCTATGTGTGCCTCTTCACATTCAGCCCAGGTTGCCATATAACGATCTGAGCTGAGAGTCAGCAAAACCCTCTGAGGGTTACTACATGAGTGCATTTCCATATACTTGCTGTGCATTACATTGGCAAAAGCAAGCTATCAAACTGTTCTTCAGAACAGGTCTTGGTCAACTTCCATGAAAACATGTGATATATAAAATTGACACAAAGAAAATAATTTTCATAGATATAAAAAAATATTAACCATGTTAGAGAATTCTTATGCATTCATGGTGGCATGTCTGAATCCTCCTTTACCAGTGAAACCCAAAATAGCAATATTTTCTGGAAGAATAAGACATGAGAAGGGAAATAAGCCTATCTAACAACCTGAATTAATGCAGATTCGTGCAAACGAGTTCACAAGCTTTAAGCCTTATGTCTTTTCAAGTAGGCTCACTCAACCAAGGAGACATTATCTCTCAACTGGGAGGAGGGGAGAGGTAGTGTCCTACAGACATCCATTTACTGAAGAATACGTATCTACAATAGGATCAAATATAAAGAAATCATATAAAGGACTTCAATTTGCCAGAACTTGGTACATCCACCAAGTTCTTAAGCATCTCTACTAGTCAGCTTGATATAAGAGATGATGAAACATATCTGGCATGCAACCTAGAAGGATCAAAGATGTTTTATTCATGACAGGAAAAACCTACATTTGTACCCTTTGGTATCAGGAATCTTACTGTGCCTCTTGAACCATAGGTGAAAGAAGAAGCTTAGTTAAAAAAAAAAAACCTGAAACTTAGCAAAGCCTTGCAAGTGTTCTGATCTACAGTCAAGAGACCAAAGTATATCAAGTGGCCAAGAGAAAAAAATCAGGGTATACCACCTTGGCAGGTAATGACAGCCCAGACAGACGAATTGATAAGGATGTCCCAACTGTGCTTGCACAAGATTGAGGAATTTGCTGAAACTTTTAACTCCAGAAAATAATTGGCATTATCAGGACAACAATCTATTTGAGAAGGCTGTGTCGGAACATATGGCAGTTCACCATGAGAGAAGCTGGATGCAGAGGTCTAGCTTTATGCACCCTTTCTCTTAGCTAGCTCTCTTTAACTAGTACTGCAATAGAGTCGAGTCCTGTGACTATTAAACCTTACACACTAAAGACTGGCAGCACACTAAAGAGAGAAAATGCTTAGAGACCTTTAAGCCTCTTAACTCCAATAATAGCTCTGAGGTTTTCTAGACATTGAAGCTCTGTTTTGAAGAGATTGCGGATGCTGATTGTGCAAACCATTTAGAGACAGAAAAAATGCTATTTCAGTAAGTTGTTTGAGCTTACTTCAGTATAAATAAGCTCAGGTAGACAACATTAGGCTACTATTTCTTGCATAGAAGTTAACATTTGAGATGCAACAGACTCCTCCAGACAGTGCTGTGGCCAAGACACTTTCAAGGATGCACAACACTACAGAAACCTTTATTTATAAGCAAAGAGCTTCACTTGAGAGCAGCGTCCCAAAACAGCCACCCTTTCTTTAGCACAAACAGCTCAGCTTGTTTTCAGTTGAGTTTATAGATCTGCCTGTGACGTAGTTCCCATTAGGATGGCTGGCAGGCTTGCTTTGCAAGCACAATATGCCTGCTGTCACCTCTCCAGTAGAGAGCACAAAGCAAAGTCAACAGCTGTCAGAATGTCTTATCAGGGCAACAGAGACTGAAGTTACTCTACATAGAAGAAAAACATGTTTGTCCTGGGCCTGAGTAACAGAGGGAGCTCTTAAAAATTACAATCTCCAGCTCAAAATAATAAAGCTTAAAAAAACCCCAAAAAATCACATCCCAAGATAAATACTGACACTGCAACTAAGCCAAGTGGAATACAAAAGAAGACCAAGTCCACTCCTTTTGACATACAGAGGGGATGAAGGCAGACATGCTCCTCTATGTGTTGCTAGGACAAAAGCTTTGTATATGTGTGCTTGACAACATGCACGTAAATCACTACACTAACATATATAATCAAAAGAAAGGATCCGCTTGGTGGATGCCAGAATGACCAAGATGATATCGAGTCTTGTTTAATTGTTTGTACAGTGACGATCAACAAGCAGATACAACGGAAACTCCTAGAGCATCAATACCTTCCAGAAAGGAAGTGGAGAAAAGACCTCCTTGAAATGAGAGTCTCTAGTCAGGGAAAGTATCCTTCACTTTCAAGGTTACCTTCACAACTAGCATATGCAGCTATTTTCTGCCATTCTTCTGCAAGCTAGGGAAAGGAAATGTGCAGGGGAAGTTGGCATTTAATGTCAGTGACACAGTCTCATCATACGTGGCAAAGAGGAAAAGTCTGGTTCCAAGATTATTGGTATCAAACAAGTCCTCAGAGACTGCTCTAGAACACACTGATCAGAACTATCACTCTGATTCAGTGAGAACAATTCATCAGAAGTGTGATGCATCAGTTCTTTTAGATCCGATTTAGATACCCAACACAAGCCAGCTACCATGGCATACATACCACAGACTGCATACAGAGACATTTTGCTGACAGCACCTCAGACAAAGCCTTCAGTGTGAAGACAGCTCTCATCTACCTCACTTTCCTCAATAATAAATGAAGTTCAACTCCCAGCAAACTGGAGCTCAAGGCAGTGAGGAATGTATTCCTGGCCTTGATCAGCAGTACCTTGCATCCACACATTTGGCTGACAGCGTCTTTTCTCTGTCAGAGGTGGCCACTATAACTAGAAGGTCCTGCCGTTTTTGCCAATTTTACAGCTCTCCCCAGGCACTGGTGAGATGCTGCTTCAACATGAAAGCTCCACTCATCGCTGCTCTTCCAAGTAGCTGCCTCCGAAAGCAACTGCGTTAAGCTTCCAAGTTGTTGAATATGCATGCAAAGTAATCAATTCTGGGGAAAAAAAAACAGACTTGTGCAATGTTCTTGCAAGTCTGAAGATCCCCACTGCATAGGATGGCATCAGACCCAGTAAAGAGCTTTTCCTTAGAAGGCTGTGGAAGCCTCTTGCATCACCTGGTTATAGCTTATCCTCAGGATCCACTCCAGCTTTTACAGTTTCTAGCCCAATATGCAATTAATTGTTTTGCATGGGAAGCTACACTACCAAACTTCTTACCCAAATGCCAAAAGGACATATTAAAAGGCTTTTCTTCAGCCAAACCTCATGTCAACTGTGAAGGTGGAACAGGACAGCATAGGAACAGGATTGAAATCTGTCCCACAAAGGCTGTAGAGTGTTCATTGCTAAAGCACAACCAGATACAGCCCTGGGCAAAATGCTCATGGTGACCGTGCTTGAGTAGAGGGGTTGCATTAGATAATCTCAAGAGGTCCCTTCCAACCTCAGTGATTCTGTGATTCAGTGAAATGTTTATGCAATGCTAGAAGAACTGGCTCAGTTCTTCTGAATTTCAACTGAATTTCAGTTATCAGGATGAAAGAAATACCCTCAAAACTGTAGGCCTCTTATAATACTAGGGAAGGCAAAATAATTTTGAAAGGTTTTGGATTTAATAGCCTTTTCAACCACTAACCCTGACAGGTATGTCAGTTTCATTTAAAAGGCCCAGAAAATGATCAATTATGATATTCAGACTGGCAATGACAACAGTAAATGTTGGTGGATACTTTATGGCAAATACAGATCACTTTCAGCCCTTCAACTGAAGTGAAAATTTTCAGATGCTACAATGACCCCAAAGC